CAATGCTTGCTAAATCATAAATCGGATCCCTAATAGTCTCGACCAACTATAAACGAAGACAACTTTGAATAAGAGCTGTATTCACCATGGTTCGTATATGGTGCTGAATGACCCACAGTTACATTTTCCCACAATTATATAAGTAGTCCTCCTGTTTTGATTACATTTCATCAAGTCTTAACTCTATAAAGATATTCCCATCTAGGGGAGCTGCAAATTCGACCTCGCCTGGGTATCATTAGCACTACCAGCTAGAATCGAACTTACGTAATGAGTCGTGCATTTTTATGTTACCATTGCGCCACACTGCCTGGTATGCCAATGGACCACAGAGCAGACATAAATTTCAAGACTAGCCAGGCCTCTTTCACATATCATTTTTAGTAGGATTGTCGATCAAGCAAACTCATTTGAGTAGGTTTCAAAACAACCAGTAGATCGTATATAAGTGCTTACGCGACCTAGGATGAATACAGTTTGCAATCAAATTCTATCAATAGTTTCAAAACCTACTCAAACTGAATTTAGGAGAACTTTGGCCAAGTATAGAATTCAAGTTAGGAAAATAGGATTTCCAATCCTAATAAAGCCCCACTACAGGTTGAGTTGAAAAGGGACTGTCTTTCAGCGTAACTAAACGGGTACAAGTGACCTGTTCGACTAAAAAACCTCACGTCTTACCTAAAGTCCCGTTAAGAATGTTGGAATGATCTAGAAGAAGGTAATACGATATTTGAGCTAGAATAAGTGGTGAAATTCAGCGATATTGAATGGCTTTTGCCCCACTTCCTATAGGGCGGTTGCCTATGGTAGCATACTTTTGATAAAAATACACGAATTATTTCAAAAGCTACTGAGTCAAGTTGGCTAATGAGCCGAATTTGACGTGCACATGTAACGGATGGTCTACTTCGCCTTAGGGCAAACAGAATCTAGGCGCTCCAGGGGTATACGTCAAAAACCTTAATGCAGCAAAGACGTGAGAATACGAACCGGATACTGGGCTGTTCGTAGGGAGATAAGCTGCTAAGTAAAGACAGAAATGTAAAAGAGCTAGTAAAGGTAAATGGGCCCCTGTTGGCACAAAGATGAAACATATCCTGAAGTGCACGGATCGAAGTAATGACTTAGAGAGGATCATGTCAGAAAAAGTATTCATTAAATATACTATGAAACTGCATGAAAGAGATCAGCTTTTCATTTTCAATCCTGATAAGCTGTGCTCACGATACTTCTCGCAAACTGTGTTTGCGCAATCAAAGCAGCCTACTATTTATATATAAATGGAATTCCGAATTGAATAAATCCAAGATATAAATTGAAGCCTCTTACAAACATTCCAAAAAATGTAGAGGAGAAATGAACTTCCCTCTTTATTTGCGCAACAAAACACCTCACAAGTTAGTGTCTCCTTGGTAGTTCGAGCTTGCAGCCTTACAGGCCAAAATAGGAGAATTTGTTGCAGCTCATTGAGACAAGATGAACAGTGAGGGAAGAGTTAGTGAGTTAGAAGCCGTCTGAAAAGACAAAGCATGAATTCGTTTTTAATACATATTTGAAGGTGACATGCCTTCGTTTTTATATGCAGGCAGTTGTCTAGGCCTGCTGCACTCACTGGTTCATCCACAAGGCTATGTGTACTGCTCCCAATTCAAAGCAAAACCAATGACAATTAAAGAAGTATGAATCCATTGATGCACTTGTAATACATTCTGTGGACAATTTTAAGTCGACAGCAGTAGGCAAACCTTGCAACTAGATACTCATTTCCTAGTTCTGTTAATGTGCAAACATGTAAAACTTATATTTCGTTTATGAGTAGGTTTTCGAGACCACCGCTAAATCGGATATATGAGCTGTATTCATCTTATTTCGTTTAACTATCAGTCCTTCATCACCTCAAACGAAATAGTGTGAACACAGCTCACGTAACATCTTGCTCATTAGTAGTGGAAGATCGAGATATTATGTCAAGATGAGAGGCATTTTTCATCAAATTAATTTAAGACAGCACAGCAAGACTAATAACTTTTAGGATAGATGCTTCAAATGACAAACCAAAGTGATACTTACAACAATGTATTCGAGCAGAGACTAATCAGGTAAATCTGCCGAGATGGCATCATACTTTCATTAATCCATCGAAAGATTGAATTATTTGGGTACCGTTTAAGTAACATCTCTATTTGGTGTGAAAAGATTGGTGGAAAGGATACGTGAATTTGCCTTCAGAATAAACCCTCACCGAAAATAGTAAATTCGAAAATCTTTCATAGACCTAGAATAACGGGCATTAATAAATAATGAATGGTGAAAAGCAAACAGATAAATTGAGATGTATAAAAAATGTGTATCAGTCGCAGCACAAGCAATAAATTGGCTGCATTTTGATCAGTATCATTATCATTACTCTAATATGAATAAGGGATACGAAACAGCTTATAGTCAATCTCGATCTACCTGCAGCTGGAGAGCATAATCAGGCACCTCCTCTTCAGAGCCGACAGCCGTTGAGACTTGAATGGGCGAATTACCTGCCGCGGTGTGGGAAGTTAGCAGTCCGGATGTTTGGCGTTGGCCGATAGCCTGCGAGAGGCCCTCCACACCGACAGCCAGATCGCCAGTCGTGAGAGCACGT